ACAATCAAACTGTCATTAGTAACAACCCGGGTGATAATGTTTACAATTATATCAAAACTTTGCCGAATTTTTTTGATATAGATTTAAGGAAATACAAGTACAAGGATATGTGTTCTATTTATAAAGCGCCTCTTGGGAAAAAATTAATCTTGTAAAATACATAATGTGTCATTTTGGTATTATACAGTGTGGTTAAATAAATAGTAATTCAGGTACAGCAGTTTTAGTCAGTAAATTGGCAAAGAAAAAATGGCACCACTCATGCTCAGACGATAATTTTCCAGAGTTTATAAAATAAAATTACTTTTTTAGGCGACTGTCATAAGAAAAGAAAATTTAAAGAAATTAAGAAAACATTTAAATACCAATAATATTTTGCCTTCTCATCAGTCTGGATTTAGAGCTGGTTATAGTTGTACAACAGCATTGACTGCTGTTTCTGATTATATAATTTCGTCCCTCAATAAAAATGAGCTGGTTATCCTAATTTTAATTGACTATTCTAGAGCCTTTGATACTATAAATTACCAATCACCGGATTCTTTTGGCAATTTTACATTTTGTAGGGTTAAGTGCTTCTGCAAAAAAAATTTTATTGTTTTATCTCATTAACCGAACTCAACAAGTTAAACTTGGTCAAAAATTATCTAATATTAAAAATTAGTAAAATTAGATTCCGATCCGATATACATAATTTAAATTTAAAAAAAGATATTATTGATCCCCGCTCATAATAAAAAATTATTTAAAATATTTTTCTCTTATTAAATATCTTGTTATGGAAATCTGCTTGATGTACCTACCATTTTATAGTGTATCAACAGAATGTTTCAGAAAAACTTAAAAAAAAAACGGTTATTAGCAGAACAAATGACCTGGTAGTATCGAATATAAATATTCAGTTTAGTTAAGATTTTTTTAGTGTATTATTAAATAAGAATTTTAATTTTGGGCTCCAATAGCATTATAGAACTCTATTTTAGTTTGTCTTTCATTGGGCCATATGGAAGAATCGGTTTTTGAATCTTTGAAACTTTTTTGTTTCTTAGTATTTGTTTGTAAAAAATTTAGTTTAGATGATACAGCCATTTAAAATGACAACTTAAAAATATTCAATGGAAATTCTACGTATGAAAAATATCAAAATCAATTTTATTTTTAAATTACAAACTAATGTCATCAAAATAAAAAAATAAATTTAACAGGTGTTTAAAATTACATTCTCCTCCTGTATACACTTACTACATAGTTTTAACAATGAAAATCGAATTTTGATATTTTTGCATACGTATAATTTACATTGAATATTTTTAAGATGTCATTTTAAGTGGCTATATCGTCTAAACTAAACATTTTACAAACAAATACTAAGAGACAAAAAAGTTTCCAAATAGATGTTGCATTTCAGTAGCATTCGATTTTTAATAAAATTTTATATTACAAAGAAGTTGAGTAGAGAAAAGGGTGATTATACAATGTCATGAAAAAATGTCAAACGGTTTAAGAGCAACGTTAAAAAAATTCTTTTAAATTTTTATCTTATACACCCTGTAATTATTTTTGGGTGCACTTTCGTACGTAGGTAAGTAAGGTTTATTCGACCTATTTTTGACCCAAGAATATGTGGTATAATTTATGATCAATCTTTTTGAAACACCCTGTATAAATAGGCGAAGTAAGGAGCCCAAATATTTTACATGAGCAGGCTTAAGAGGTAAAGGGGCCAATTATTATTGGAAAAATTGTTAAACCTAAGTAATGCCAATTCTTCACAAACCAAAAAAATTCAACGTCCTAATACTACTATCGGCTTTCGGTCTCTCATTCCAAGTTAAATCATGTCCACCATTTTAGCGTCTCTCGAATTAATATTACTAAAGTGTTACATTTTTGAATGCATTTACTTTACGGATGCTTTTCATAAATACAGGTTTATTATACTTATCGTTACCCAGATTGCACAAAGTCGTCTTAAAGACGTCTTTAAGACGTCTAGCATAAAATATATGAGACGTCTTTAAGACGTATGGTATTTCCTGAAAGAAGTCCCCTTTTGTAACATCAGATGTCTTCTAAGACGTCTTATAAATGGCTTATATTGGTCTGTAGAGCTTAAAATAAGCCATAAATAAGACGTTTTTAAGACGACTTATTAATACCTTATAATAATTGTTGTGTTATCTATTATCTTCCCTAGTGATAGGCAACCAGTAATACACTGCGTTGTATGCAACCAAGAATACACTAGGGGTTTTTGTGAAGTTATGTGGGAGAGGATCATGTATTTTGTGTTAAATAAACGACCAGTTCCAGTCTTAGTTTATGTTTGATTTATTCAATAACAGTACATGGTGGCAGCGGTGATTCTGTAAATGATAAATTATGGTTACTACCCAGTCTGAGACGACACCTACAACCACTGTTAGTATGGCCGGTGTGACCCCCTCCATATCGTTTCAAGTAAGCCCTCCAGAAGGTTTTAATTTTTCAAATCCAAAAACTATATATTTTAAATTATTATTTTATTTCATTACTTTAAATCAAGGATTTTAAATCACACTGTATATTTACGAAACAACAAACTGTAGAATAATTAATAAACGTTCTGCCAATTAAACATTTATTAACTCCCAAAAAATAATACATGTGTCTCTCGACCACGTATTTTCCGATAACCTCACTTCCGCAACTAAGTCTGAAAGTAACTAACATATATGTAATATGAGTTGCCTAACACCACACAAACCAAAATAAATGTATTGTAAATTGTATTTATCTTTTTCCTACTAGCGTGCGTAAAGTTCCACAGAGTGTGTAAAGTTGTATTTTTTTCACTAGTGCGTAAAGTAAAACTCTTTACGCACTAGTAAAAAAAAGTAAAATGTGACAAAAATTGTAAACATATAGCAACAAAATACTTTACGCACTAGTGAAAAGAAGTGATTTTTATATTTCTATTATTAGTGGATAATATGTACGGTAGTAGAAAAAAATATTGCATACAACTCGTGTGTAAAGTCCCTTTTTTGACTCATGTGATTGTCGCACGAGCCGTAGGCGTCAAAAAAAGGGTAACTTTACACATGAGTTGCATAAATAACTATTTTTTTTTAATAAATTACCTAGCTGTAAAAGATGCAAACATCGTTGTTTTTTAATTGTTCATCGGGTAAAAAAAATAAATAACAGAGCTTATAAAAATATTTAATAAAATTTTGATACAACCCACCGTAAGATTTATTGTAAATATGGTTGCCTGTATTTAGGTATCTGATTTTGACAAATAGACCTAGTCCCGTTTTCAGACACTTATGGAAGACGGGACAATGAAATTAATTAACTAATATAAAGGGTATTCCAAAAAATTATCTACCAATAAACTTAAAATGATTATTTTAAATCACATCATTTGTTGAAAATGTCTACAATTAACTTAGAATGCTTTAAGACAGTACACAAATAAAACAATCAATCAATAAACAGTTATTTTATTGTTTAAAGCACCTTTTCAAATAAATGCAACTCTTGTCTACATTGATCATTTATTCGACCATAAATGCAGTTTTTATAAACGTATAGATAATGTTTAGCATAATTATATTTTTTCTACATACCTACTCATTTGAATTACATATTTGATAGTACCAGCTATTATTCTACTGAAATGTGATGCAATCAAGAAAGAATACATTTTAAAATAGTAGGTATCTATCTATTTAATGGATCAAACGACTTACCTGAAGGAAGTTCGATCCTAATTATGCGAGCAGCCTTGTTAGTGGAAATAAAGATAACCATGTAGTATACCTATGTTACGCCGCTGACCCACATGTTTAGATTTAAAATTTTACGTCACTCTCTACTCTATCTACATTACTCATTACCTGTTGTGGAGCCTAGGAGTTTGGGGTTAAAAATAATATAAATATGGTGGAGGTGGGACTTTATTTCCACTAACAAGGATGCTCGCATAAAATTGGATCGAACTTCCTTCAGGTAAGTCGTTTGATCCATTAATTATGCTTCACATCCTTGTAAGTGGAAATAAAGATAACCATGTAGTTGTTTAGAGGATGTTCTATTCAAAATAAAACTAGATTTTTGCTTTCTATGTAAATGTATACAATAGAATATGCAAAAAAAATATTACTATAAATTTCCCACAAAATTAACAATAATAATTAATAATAATACTAGTGAATTAATCATTAACCAACGTAACAAAAAATAATATTGAATTTTAACAATTCAGTTTTATAATTTTTTAATACTTTTGCGAACGTTGGTTTTACGGCTTAATTGTAAAACGTATTTCTAATACGATTTTCGATAGTTTTTACCATTTTACACTTTTTTATAATCGCTAAAATGTGATCGGTTTTACGATGTGAATCATGCGACACAACAATTGGTAATGAGTAATGTAGACATAGCAGAGAGTAATGTAAAATTTTAAATCTAAACATGTGGGTCAGCGGCGTAACGTAGGTATACTACATGGTTATCTTTATTTCCATAACAAGGATGTGAAGCATAATTAAAATTATTAGAAGTAAAATTAAATAAAACAAAAGTTCCAAGTTCCAAATCATTCAACAATCCAAGATAGAACCTCTATATCTTTCATACAAGAATTTGTAGAAAATAATAGCTTTGGTGATGCATCCATCATAGTTGTTGTCATCATGGTAATGCCTTCAGTTCACTTCAAGGCTTACTAGATATTTTAATTTCAAGGTTATCCTGGAATTTGGCATCTCCAAGCTGAAGCATGATAATAGAATAAGTGGTGATGCCGCTAATCAAATTCAATATGGTAATTCTTCTTATTTCGAAAAAATCTGCTGCCGATATAACAGGTTTAAAGTGTTTCAATTTTACAATGAACCTTTTGAGTTCTACGCTTAGAAGGCTCATTTCTAAGGCTTGTAATTGTTGGTGGTAAGCTGAGTTTAAAAGTTTTTCACATTCAACCATTATAGAGTCTGAAGTGAATATAATCGCAAGACTGTAGTTCTGAAATTAAAGAAAATTAGATATGATTGTACGAAGAAAGATATTGATACAGAAAAAACATTCTACTGCCAAAATTTTAGTCAATTGTACTGTTAGTCCGCCATTTTGCCATCAAGTAGTTGAGTTCGATATTCCACATATTACTACCAATCAGAGGTGTGAACTGGAAAATTACCGATAAATTATCGCGGTAATTTACCGTAATTAACCAGAAATAAATTACAGTAATTTTTTGTGGTAAAAAAATTACGTTATTTTCCGTTATTTACCATTATACAGGGTGTTTCAGAATGTAATGTACATACTTTAACTGTAGGTGTGGAACACTTGGGTGCTTCGAAATCATCCATTATTAATAGGTCTATCACATCTCATTACCTAGATACAGGGTGATTTATGAATTTCACCTGAATTTGTTTTTAGCCAAAACTTAACAACCACTCGGTATACAAAATTAAAATTTTGCAGGTAGACTCTCCATATAACAAAAATAATGCCGTAAAAATAAAAATGAGATTCCAGGTCCGGATTAACAAAATTTGAGCATTTCTGTCCGCTTGATGAGCAAATTTAACATATCTGATTAAACATCTTAAAAGAGCGGAAAAAATCAATTTGGGTAGATGTCTTTTAAAATTTGCGCATGTCGTTTTAGAGGCACTAATTTTTTGATAAAAAATGATATATTTAAAAATTTGTTAACTTCAGAATTTAAACACGATTTTTTGATTATAAAACATGGAAAATATTACTTTTTTAAGTAAGTACTTTTCAAATATCTCAATTTTACACTGTTTCAGTCTTTGATTTAATATTAGAAATAAATTACAGGCTAAACCAATAATTTTTTAAATACCCTGTATAATGAAAAATAAGGAAATTAAAGATTAAAAATATTATTTCTACTTAACAAAAATGAGTTTAACAGCAAGATTCAATTTTAAACATAACTTGGTAATTATTACTCATACAATTAATTTTTTATTGTATTTAAATATTTAAATTTATTTCCTAAATAAAGGGAATAACTCAAGAAAAACCTAACTATTAAAACAACCTTGATCAACCTAATATTTGATCAAATGACAACTATTTTATCAAATAAGCCATTCAATAAATTCTTTGGATTGCCAACCTTAGGATTATTTTATTATTTTTTCACATGTATTATGTATTCTCTGTTTTATAAATAACTTTATCTAGAAAATAAGGAAACAGTTGAAAGTTTTTGACAGCTAATACATAAGTTTAATAGACTATTCATTAAAGTTTCTTTGTTGCAAACATTGGTGTTAAATAACCAAATCTAGAAATGCCTCCTCAATTTTCCAACGAAGAATATGCCGATATTTTGTTTGTATACGGATTTTGTAATGGTAATAGTCGAGCCGCTGTAAGGGAATATGAGAGAAGGTTTCCAGGACGCCGACTGCCTAACCATCAAACTTTTTCGAACATTTTTCATTTTCTTAGACAGCACGGTCGTTTTCCTACAGCAAAATTCAATGAACATAATAGAATGGCAAACATTGATGTAGAAGAGAATATTATCAATATGGTTGAAAATGATCTAAAAATTAGTACTCGCAGAATAAGTAATGCATTAGATCTACCACACGTTACTATTTGGCGAACATTAAAAAGAAATAGGTTATATCCATTCCACTTTCAACATGTACAGAGATTGGAGATGGGAGATGGGAGATGAAATCCATAGAATACATTTTTCTAACTGGATTATTCGAAATAGAAGAATTCTTAATCGATGTTTATTTTCCGATGAATCACAATTCACTAGGGATGGTGTATACAACTTAAGGAATTCTCATTTTTGGGCACAAGAAAATCCACACGTTGTAAGACAGAGCCACTCGCAAAATAAATTTTCTGTGAATATTTGGTGTGGTTTGCTAAACAACCATCTGATTGGGCCGTATGTGCTTCCTAATCGACTAACAGGTGAAGCATACTTAGATTTTATTCAAAATCATTTGCCAGTACTGCTGGAAAATGAAAATATTGGGGGCATGTATTTCCAGCATGATGGTGCTGCGCCACATTTTAAAAGAATCGTAAGAGAATTTCTAAATGAGAATTTTTCTAATACGTGGATAGGTCGGGGTGGACCTAATCACTGGCCGGCAAGATCACCAGATTTTAATCCCGTCGATTATTACCTTTGGGGACATTTAAAATCATTAGTTTATAGTGACGAAAATAATACACCTGATGAACTTCTTCAAAGAATAAACAATGCGTGCGTAGAAATACGAAATAAACCTGAAACAATTCGAGCGGCAATCCAAGAAATTGTGGAAAGGGCAACAATATGTATTCAGCAGAATGGTTTTCATTTTGAACAATTATTAGGTTAGAAATATGTTATTTTATTAATTAGGTTTTAATTGTTTCAACAAGTTTATTTGTGAAATAAAATTAATAATTATTTTTTTTATAATTATTTTGTTTATACATAATTAAATTTTCCTGGTACCTTAAAGAAAATACCAAACTCAAAGTCTGTTAATGTTTGCCATTAATTCGAAATTTCCTTTTTAATCTTTACTTTCCTTATTTTTCATTATACAGGGTATTTAAAAAATTATTGGTTTAGCTAACTATACGGGCCTGTAATTTATTTCTAATATTAAATCAAAGACTGAAACAGTGTTTAAATTCTGAAGTTAACAAATTTTTAAAAATATCATTTTTTATCAAAAAATTAGTGCCTCTAAAACGACATGCGCAAATTTTAAAAGACACCTACCCAAATTTATTTTTTCCGCTCTTTTAAGATGTTTAATCAGATATGTTAAATTAACTCATACATGGTGTTGTTTTTGAAGCGGACAGAAATGCTCAAATTTTGTTAAGCCGGACCTGGAATCTAATTATTATTTTTACGGCATTAATTTTGTTATAGTGAAATGAGTCTACCTGCCAAATTTTTATTTTTTATACCGAGTGGTTGTTGAGTTTTGGCTAAAAACAAATTCAGGCGAAATTCATAAAACACCCTGTATCTGGGTAATGAGATGTGATAGACTTATTAATAATGGATGATTTCGAAGCACCCAAGTGTTCCAGACCTACAGTTAACGTATGTACATTACATTCTGAAACACCCTGTATATGGCATTTTCTGGTAATTTATCATATTTCGCGAAAGCGACACCGACCTTCAATGAAAATAAGCACTGGATAACTGTTCTTCATTAAAACTTCCCTCAAGGCATCAAATAAATTACTAAACAGTGAATATGATTGTGTAAAAAAGTCTGTAAACTAAAAAATTCATACTGCTAAGACTGTAGGGATTCAAATTGATGGTTGGTCTAATATTCGCAATGAATCTCTAGTTAATGTCCTCTTTACGGTAATTTCAAGATTTTTTAATTGAGGAACTGTTTGTTCTTAGTTTTTGATGGTATTTTTAAATAAAACATATAGTAATTATTTCAAGTTGAAGTTTAATTATTTTGTCCGGATTTTTAAAAATTTGTCCAGAATATTCATTAGGAATGTCAGGAAATTGTATTTTGTAATATGGTAATCCTATTCTTACCACACCTGAGCCTGTGTTATATAAAATAGCAGATACGAAAGCAGCTCCTCATGAAGCAACTTTCATGTGCAACATTATATCCGAAGTAGTTGATGAAATAGGCTTAAAAAAAGTTACAACAGACAATGAAAGAAACATGACAACTAGCTGGAATTTACTTACAGAAAAGTATTACCTTTTATAGATTTAAAGAAGCCCTATTTGCTAAAGACTTTGTATGGACCAGTCTAAAAAATGGAAAACTGTTAGTAGTGACTTGGTAGAAATCGATTTGTTCAACAAGCAAAGTAGCTTTAGAAGTATTAAACTGCCCACCGTCAACTGCTGCCACAGAACGAAGCTTATCAACGTATGGAAATGTCCATACAAATAAAAGAAATCGACTAACAAATGAAAGGGCACAAAAAATTGTTTATATCAGACAAAATTTAAATATAGCGGAATGTTCATCCGGTTCATTACAATCTTCTTTGGAGTCTGAATCCGACTGGTTTGAAGTAGATAGCGAAACTGAACTAGATAAAATAGTTGATTTAGAAATCTCATTTAGTCCAGCTCATTGTGAAATGCTAATGTAATATACGCATACCATAATTAATAAAACATAGTCTTATAAAATTAAAATAAATTTTTCTTTTATTCACAAACAAATGAAACAATTCTATATTCGACACAGATACATCTTAATTTCATTTCAAAGTCATTATTAATTATGTATAATGTATAAAATATATTATGTTAAATTACCACAGTAATTTACGACACAAATTTATTACTAAGGTAATTAATTTTGGTAATTAAAACCCGTAAATTACCGAAAAATTACGGTAATTTTACAGCACTGGTCCGCGTTGCGGATAAAAAATTCTGAAAGCGGGCGATTTTGACTATTGCAAATATCTTCTACATTCCAGCGATGTGTCTGGCATATGCTGCGTTTGAGAATCCACATCGGATGCATCTCAGATGTAAAAAATCTTTGATCACGTGATTCAGTATACGTAAATGTAATGGGACAGATGTGTCCGATGTGAATAAAAAAACGCTCGAGATGTAAAAAATGCATCCGATGTGGATTCTCAAACGCGGCAATAATAGCAACACGGCAACATGGTGGTATAAATAATCCCTTTACGTACAATCCACTTTGATTATAATTGTTTTAACTAATTATCTATACTTACAATAAATGAGGCGACCAAAATTCCCTGCATTGTGTTTTTATGTTTGTAAAATGCTAGGATGAGCATAAGTAATGATGCTAACACGGCCATTAATCTATCGCCGTACAGTAAATTGAATTCTTGTAGCATATCACTAAAGTGCAATATCTTTTGTCCGAATTTTCTAATTTCCGCAGCCATCAGATAATCGTCCAAATTTTTGTTGGAGTTGAAACTAATCTTGTCAGAAAGTTGCTTCATATAAAATGAAAAAGCATATTAGATTTTTTTTCAGCAAGAAAAAATCATGTAATGATTTCCATCAAATTTCAAATGAATTACTTTTTATTTGAAATATAAAGAGAAATATTATGTGTGAATGGTTTACTTTAAATATTTTGAGTTAAGGTACGACCTCCAAGCTGAATTCTGATCACACTTTGTTTATATCCCAAAATAATTTAAAATTTTGGCAAGCCTGGAGGCGTAAATAGAAAAGCTACTTCAATACGTCCCCAGGCAGTGACCAAATAGACTAGGGTTTTTATGCGTTATTCGTGCAGAAAACCTACTTGAATATAATGGTGCCGAATTGGAGTAGGATTTTCCGGTCTATACACGGCGTAATATTCTGTAATTGCTACTTTAGTACAGCAAGTGTTCCTTTAGTGGTTATGTTTATGTTTATAATACGCGGCGGCTCGGTATTCGGTTGTTTATACACAAAAAGTGAATTAACAATATACCCTACCAATAAAATGGAAGAAACTATTGAAACATTACTTAGTGCAATATTAATTGACTATCAAATCGTGAAAATCAACGGTCAAAGTGACGAAAGTTATACTTATATCTACAGTAATTTGCCAAAAAACAACCCACAACTACTTAACGCCAAAGAGCTAAAGATACCTATTTCAGTTAAGGTGCCAAAAAGCAATCTCATAATATAGCCTTCAATATTAAAAATCATTTACAGTATGACAACAAATATTAATAAACTATGCAAATACCTACATATGTTTTTTTACGCAAGAAAAAAAGTACTGAAGTAGTATTTCCGCATGTTTAGGCAGCGTAATAACGCGCAATCCTACTCCAATACGGCACCATCCGATGATATATTCAAGTAGGTTTTCTGAACGATTACCGCATAAAAACCATAGTTTAGTTGGTCACTGCCTGGGGGACGTATTGAAGTAGGTTTTCTATTTACGCAGCCTGGAGCGAGCCGTAGGTGTTGCTGCAGCCAAACAATTTTTAATTTTTATACAGCAAAAATCTATTGAAGAAATAGAGGAACTGAGCCTATACTGAAATTAAAGGCCAATGGTAAGATATTAGAGTATTATTCTAAAAATATCATTTACTATTATTAAATTAATTGCAGCTTTGTCCATCCTACATTTAAAAGCAGACGAGAAACCATCAGCGAGATTGGGGTCAGTATCTTCCGCTCTTTGCAATGGCTTATAGATCCGCTGTCAATGAATCAACAGGCCAAACACCAGCAAAGGTCCTGTTTGGGCATAAGATGAGACTACCGTACGACCTCGAGTTTGGATGCCGACCTGGAGAAGATATAGCTGGTGAATATTATGTGATCTTGTTATGAAGAAGAATGGACGATATGCATGATAAATTAGTCCGCTCGCATCTTCAAATCGCCAGCGACAGGATGAAGAAACGGTACGATACCCAAGCCACAGAAGGATGTTTCAAGGAAGGCGACAAAGAATTATTCTCCGAAGCTTCATAGGTCTTGGGAAGGTCCGTACCTCATCAAGAAAAAATCAATGATGTCAATTACCTTAGAAGTAAGATCCCGAACAGTAAACCAAAGGGAGTGCACCAAAACCGGCTGGCGCCATTTGAGGGTGACTATGAAGAGGAATAACAAGTAAACCAGCTCCAAGAAACATCTGACCTTGTCTTTGAAGAATTTATAGGTGCATAATATGGAGGTACCGGAAAAGCAAGACATGGTGTTACAACCGAGCAACAACAAGACTTGCTTATGGTTCCTAAAGATTACTTGCTGGTCCATGGTACTTCCGCCAACATCTACGACGCTCGAGGTCTGGCATCTGTATTCCAGAAAATGTTTGTTCGACTGCCAGAAGTTCAAGATCAGTTACCAGCCCCTGGAACAGCCTTGAAACTTCAAGATGGATCGCATTATCTTTTCTATTTGGTAACAAAGAACATCTTTCAAGATCGATCCACCTATCATGATGTATGGGAAGCATTACTCAGTCTGAGGGAGCATGTAGTGGAGTCCAATGTACAGAAAGTAGCTATGTCGAAAATAGAGAGCAACCAGCTGAATTGGAGGATCATTAGAAACATGATGGAAGTAATCTTCCAAGATACCCAGGTTGAAATACTGGTCTGCAGCCATTCTCCCAGCGTTCAGGTCATAGCGAAGACTGTCCCTTGTTACTTTCATGCAACTGGAATTTGTAAAAGAGGATCCAGTTGCAGATAAAACCATTCAGTTTTAGTTCCAGGAGGAGGAGGGGGCAATGTGACGCGGAGCTGACCCTCAGGGCCGACTAGAGGGGGGGCAGCAGGGACTAATTCCCGGGGCCCGGGCCCAAATGGGGGCCCCGCAGCGGTCGTGAGAATTTTTTTGTTACTTTCAGAAATTCGATACAAGATGGGGGAAGTTCTTGGTTGAAGACTTTTTTTTAGAGAATTTCAAGTAGAGGAGAATTTTTTGCTGGAAGACTTTTTTTTAGAGAAATTCAAGTAGAGGAGGAGAAATTTTTGCTTGAAGACCTTTTTTTTTAGAGAAATTCAAGTAGGGAAGGAGAAATTTTTGCTTGAAGACCTTTTATCTAATTGCCGCAGGGCCCAATCTGGAGAATTGTCCTGGGGCCCGGTCTGGCTCTCGGCGGCCCTGCTGACCCTGTCTATTAAGCAACCTTCCATCTGCCACCGATTCATGATTGAAGCACCGCTGACGTGTGGAGACAGTCGGACCGCATCTAGAATATACCATAACAAGCGGTAACGTGACGTTGAGTCGTCTGGAGACTTCTCATAGCAGAGTTGGTATAAATAACACAATTATCGGCGGACGAGTTAGTTTAGAATAAAGTGTCTAAGTATTATATATTAATTAGTACGTCATAAATAAATTGTAAATAGTGTGTTTTAAATAAATAAACTCTAAAATAAATTAAACTATTGTAACACTAATAATAATAATCATAAATCGAGTATAAATGTCTCTTTTACATTGTGAAGGTTCAACTTAATTCATAATAATAATAATAATAATAATAATAATAACAATAATAATAATAATAATAATAATAATAATAATAATAATAATAATAATAATAATAATAATAATAATTAATAATAATAATAATAATAATAATAATAATAATAATAATAATAATAATAATAATAATAATAATAATAATAATAATAATAATAATAATAATAATAATAATAATAATATAATAATAATAATAATAATAATAATAATAATAATAATAATAATAATAATAATAATAATAATAATAATAATAATAATAATAATAATAATAATAATAATAATAATAATAATAATAATAATAATAATAATAATACTAATGCAAATACTAATAATAAGGGAGTGTAAATAGACCTTTAAACCAGACAATATTAATTTGGTAACGTTGTAACCATTTATTATTTTTCTGTTGGTGCCTTATGGGCGACCTTTAAAAAAAAAGTTATTTTAATTCTAATTTACTTCTAAATTAAACAAATTAATATAAGTTTTCTTATAAAACTGAAATCTTTAATGATTGTTATTATGTAAACATGACTAAACATTAAGGTGTGTTGTTACAGCTACACAATAATATCGTTTGTATATCGTCGATGTATTTTTTTACTATATCTGCTTACCTTTTCAATAAATACTTGATTAAACGAAGAATTCAGCTTAGCGTAGATATTTTTAAATTGTCTCAATAAAGTATACATAGTAAATATCTCATAACCAATCAAAATGGCATTAAAATGATCTACAATTTCTTGTAACGAAATAGATACATTTTTGAACAAAAACAAAATGTTTGATATAAATATTAAAGCGAAACCAAAATCGAATATTTCAAAATTCATTTTTTTCGTTGAATAGTCTTCCGTCAGTTTATTTAATAGATGTGTAATTCTTCGCCTTCGACTGATGCATACCAACGTCTTCAAGGCTAAATACTGATAGTGAAGATAAAAAAATTGTGATATGAAGAGTATCACTTGAAAAGTGGAAAAAGCACCTTGGCAAATGCTGATAACGCGACGTATTGTATAGTAGATTAGTAAAGAGAAGTTTACAATCCAAAATAGTCTTAAAATCAGAATAATTAACTTTCTTTTTCTGCCAATTCTAGCTGTACCACAATAGGGTAATATACCAGCAAGAGTGGATAAAGTCATAGTGAAATCGAATCTATTTTCACAAATTTTATCGATATACTTCTTTATAGCCATGGTTCTGGAATAAAACTATCTAAAAATTGATTCTAAAGTTTCTAGCTGTATAAGTGGAGTTAATAAATTTGATGTTTTTGGAATTACAGCTTTTCAGTAAAGTATCCACATTTGGTGGGCGTACAAAGTAAGTTCTTAGAAAGTATTGATGGAACTTAAATTAGTTTGCTACTCAAAGCAAAATAATAATAAATCCAATTTATGTATGAGGAAGGATCAGAAATTTCGTGAATAGAATAGAATATTTTTCAAGAGTACCCTAAAACTTCGACATCTATTTTGTTATAATTTTCCTTTTTTGCCGCGTACATATTATGTAAAGAAGATGATAAAATTGTCATTTGGAAAACATAGCCGAAACGATAGAAGTTGTGAAGCAGGGGATGTCCCAGTTGGAACTTGGACACAAAACAGAGACCAAAAAAAAGGGGAAAGGGGTCAGAAACAAAATTTATTTTTTTTTAGTCGAAAGCCAAGATATCAATTGTTACTATGGTTTCTAGTTGACACATTTTAGTGGTCAAAACCTGTCGAGGTTCTCCCAGTTTACGGTACCTATTTATGGACTCATTTACAGAAAATATTAAATACAGTGTTATTGATTAACAAAACTCGTTTATTACATTATGTACATTTAACTTTATTTGCTAAAATAAGTGCTTGTCTAGCTACATATTTTTACCAAAATTTCATTAACATTGTAAAAGCCGTTTGAAATAATCGAAAAAACTTGAAATCCTAGCACCCTAAATGTTCTAAACA